TCTGCCCTGAGCCACCGACTGCCATCACGTATCCATTCCCAAAACACTTTAAAACTGCTGCTGCAGCTTTTGCGAGAGCACGAAGGAGGAAGCAGACACATCCAGACAAAAAAAAAAATGGTTGCAAGGAGTGGGTGAGGTGGATTTGAGTTGATGAAAGAAAAGGGAATTGGGCAGGGGATGGGGGTGGGGGTGGAAGGGCTGTTGGGGAAAAGACAGGAGAGCTGGTAGTTACAGCAAAGACATCTGTCGCTGCTGCCGACACCCACCGAGGCATACAATACCTTAGTTTGAATTAGCCCTCTGCCGGCTTCTCAGTTAACACCTGAGGAGGTCATTATGATGCCATTAGGATGAGCAGTGCAGGGAGGGCAGAGAGGAGTGAGAGAGAGGGATATCCACGCTAAGTGTAAACAGTCTGTCTGTCTGTGTCTGAGAACTTTCTCTTCCCCTGGAGAGCCCTCTCTCCTCTGACAGAAGAATGACAGAGACCTCATGGGAATTATAGCATTCTCCCTCTCTCTCTCTCTCTCCCTCTGTCTCTCTCTCTTTGTTTCCCACGCGGACTGACAGATCACAAATTCACAGCAATAGGGCCTATTTTAATACATTTTCTGTTGGTACATGAGGCTGACTTAAAATAAACAACCTTTCTATTGCCTCACGCTCACTCTCATTTTCACAGTATCTCTCTTTCTGAGTATGCTTTGCTGTTGTTGCCGCTGTTGTTGTGCTGCATTGTTCAGGGGGATTTTCTTCTTTTTTTCTCCCCTCTTTTTCTTCCTTTCCTCTATTCTCTGGAGAAGAAGGAATGCTTTTCTGGGTGCAGTCAGTGATACGGCACGGAGCAGCTCTTTCAGTTTCATTATATAAACAGCTTTGATGCCTCTTCTTGCTCTCTGGTTTCTATGGCTAAGTGGCTTTGGGAGAGGGCTCTGGACTAGAGAGACAAGAGGCATGTGTGCTTCTGCTTCGGTTTCATGTGTATGTGTGTATACAGTATGTGTCTCTGTCTTTACTATGTCCTCACACGTGCCTTCTTCCACTTAAATATAGTTTTGCAGATGAAGAAGTGTGGCCTCAGTGGCCTCAGTAAGTGTTACAAATGTTTCTAATTACATTGTTTTAACTTCCTGAAACTGGCTCTCAAACTTAAACTCTGGATTATTTAAAGGTTGAGACTGAAAAACAGCTAAAAATATGTTATTAAAAAATAATTAATACATACAAACAAATTGTATTTCATGATTTTGTCTGTGGGCTAATTTTAGATTATGACATTCTTTTGCTTCCTTGTTATAACCCCAGTTTTTGTTCCCTTTGCACTGAGCATCAAAACCATTTCCTGCTTAATCACTGTCGTCCTCTCGCTCCGATCCTTCTTTTCTCTTAATATTTGCTTTGCTTTCCCTTATTCCTGTTCCTCCTCTTCCTGTCTTGGTTCTCTTACTCCCAATATTTGTTATTTTGTGTTTCTGGGAAGATTGAGCTGCTTATTGCCCCAGGTGCGGTCAGCCAAACCAGGCATGACTGTTGCAATCAGTGGGAGAACACACACACACACACAGACACACACACACACACACACACACACACACACACACACACACACACACACTTAATGTGGGAGGTCCTCTTCTCTGTGAGGAGTTTAAGAGTATATCTACTTGCAGCCACGATGGTCTTCATTAAGACCTTGGCGTGGTGTTTGTTTGTGAGCGATGAGGAGACTGTTATGGGGATGACCAGGAGTTTGCGAGGAGCTGATGTCACTGCCCACCCACTTAAGGGCCTCTTATCAAGGCCATGCACTGCACTGTTCTCTCTCTCTCCCACATCCCCTCTTCAATTACCCCTTCTCCTCTCAGCTGTTCACCGCTGTGGGAGCTGGCACGAGACTATGTGTCCTGGGGATTTCTTCACATCCCTCCCTTCATGTCTTCTTTCTTTCCTCCTGCTGAGCTTCCTTCTAAGTCCCTTCCTTCCTCTCTGATCCCCCTCTTCATGGTTCATCACCGCAATGCTTCCTCTACACAAACCACAGACATAGAGGCGACCTCGTACTCCAAAGATTGTCCCAGGATCTGCGTATATTTATCACAGGCATGTGGAAAGTTTGTTTTATTAGTATAATTTATCATCATTTACATTCTGTCTGAGTTTGTTTCTCTGAAGGCTGAAAAAAAAAAACCCAAGTAAAGGGTGCAGATACAAATGTTTTGCAAACTGACACACTTGTGTGTGTCCCTGAAGATAACATCATGTAGTGTGGGACTTTGACCTCAACCTTTTACAATAGTCTAAACTAATGTAATTTAAACCTGCGCTGACATTTAAAATAATGCTGTGCCTGTGTCTTGTTAGCCTGATAATACAAGCGAATTGCAGATAAAAAGATCATGGTAGCATTTGTGGCAGTGAAACCTATTGATTTCACTCCTATAAACATGTTTCTGTGTTTCTCCATCTCATTCCCTTGCTTCCCCTCTCTTTGTGTGTCTTAATATTACTTGCCAAATCAGTTCCTCGTGCTTGTCTTATCGTCTGATGCTGACAATGTAGACACTCAGAGTTGCATCCTGCAGGCATTTTCATTAAAGCACTAATACACATTGGTAATTAGGTGACAAAGAGGCCTCTCTTATTGTACTGATCAGCTGCTGAGACGTAGTCCTCGGAGGCCGGCACAGAAGTAGGTTGCCTGTGTATGTGCGTGTTTCAGTGTGTATCCAGTCTGTGCCATTGTTACTAAGGAATTCGGATGTTGTGTGGTGGCACTGTCCCTCTTTAGCTCTTATTGGATCTTGACATTATAAACTAAAGAGAATTGATACGATGACCCAGCAGTCCATTGAATATTATTTTCCTATTTATAATCTACATTATCTTTTATGAGTGGAAACATATTCATGCAGTGAAACTCTTGCATTTCCCCGCACACACATTTTTTCTCCTTTCCCTATTCCCCATCACTCTCTCTGCTTATTTTATATCAGATGTTTCTTGAGCCACCTGAGGCACAGAACAAATAACATGCTGCAAATGAAATTTCCTGTGAAGCTTATTGATGTCATTAAACACTAGCATACTGAGGCCCAGAATCATTTTAGTCTTCATCAGACCAGCTGACATTTTAGTGAATTAGCTGTGAGGTTCTGTGGGGGTGAGGTGGGCTTGTTTTAGCTCCTCTACCACCACCCTCCCATAGGGTCAAATGGTAGAATCAATGATTTCATTTGGTCTGTCTGCTGGCCTTTGATTGGCTGGCATAAGGCCAATATGTGTCTGATTCATAATGTAATTCTTGTGTTTTGCTCTTTAAGGAGTATCCTACGTTAGCACTGAGTTTATTTTGGGTATAACGTTACAGTTTTGTGATTATCATTAAATTCATGTTTGACGCGAAAGCTGCTCTTTGTATTATTTATTTATTTGTGAGTTCGTAATTTGCATTTGACCTTGCTGTTCCAAAGATCTATTAAGTAAGTTTGGTACATGCAATTTTAGAGATCTGCATAATTTCATTGTTCCATGGTTGACATAAAACAATGAAATGTGGTCTAAAGAATTAAAGAATATTTATTTATTTGTTTATTTTTGTGCCAAAAGTTGCAAAAGCTGAACACCTCATGTCCCTTAAATGTTGCGTTACTGTTGTTTGTTTGTTTGTTTGCTTTTCTTCTAATTTCTCTGTACTGATTCAGAACATTTTTGCACTTGGCATTGTAGCACTGAGCAGCGATCCTTTCCCTTCTCTAAATAAGTAATTTCATTAGTACACACAGGAAGTTTGCTGGGTTCTGCAAAACACTGGCAGCTTGTGAAGGTCAATTTGTATGATTTGACATTGTTTGGATTTATAAATGGATATATATTTTTTTAACTTGTTAACCAAACATTTCATTTAGTAAAAGATGCAATGACCAATCCCTGTTCCGCTTGTTGTGTGCATGTCTGCTTTCTGGTGTTTTTTAAGTCTCAGCGCAGGTTTTCTCCTTTCCACACATTAATGTCATTTGGGCATCATCCCGCTCCGTGCGGCGAGACATAACAGTGTCTGGTTGTTGCTTGTTTGTGTTTGGGGGTCGATGGGTTCAGCATGACTCAAGCTCGGGCGCGCTGCGTAGCTGTGGCACCTCGGCTGGCCTTTGGTTTCCTGATTTAGTAAGACTAACACTTCTAAAACAAACCAATGTGAGCCTCCATAGCAGCAGCAGCTCCCTCTGTGGTCCATCAACCAAACACAATTGTTGTGACATGTACAGGACAGAGAGTTTGTCATAGCATGCGTTGAGACATCATAACAGCGTCAATAGCTCTACTACATCTTACTGCTAGCGGTGGCGTGCCTTGCCATCTATTATCACTGTTAACTCCTCTGTCTCTCTCTCACACCTGATCAAAAATTGAAATCTGTTCCGAGTGCTTCTCTGTGTTCTCAGCTGAGCAGGACAGGGGGAGAAGAAGAAAAAAAAAAAAGGAAAATGGAAAAGAACGTTGTTAATGTCACTGAACCATGAAAGGCTTGGCCCGGGGTTGGAATGACTCGGTATATAAGGTTCTTTAGTGCTGTGGCTGCGGGGATAAACATAACTTACATCAGCCCTTCGCTTGTACAGGAGATTTCCTCTCCTGGCACTTACAACCTCAACACTCTCACTACACTGTGTTTCGCACACACGTACACACACTACACATAGTACAATCCAGACCCTTTCAAGTTGCTCGTGCTCACACACACACACACACACACACACACACACACACACACACACACACACACAGACCAGAGGGCAAACGAGGGCTGTGAATAGTATTTTTTATTCTGTTTGTAAGCTTGACAGTGGGTGCTATTACTTGCTCACACATGCACACAGTTTAGTTGACTTTTGTGGGATGGATTTGTATCAACAGCAATATAAAATTATTAATTGCTTTAAGACTGTATTATCAGTGTAACGTCTCACTGTGTGTTTTCTGTGTCTTTTTTTCCTCTGCAGATCATCACTCAGTATGTTTATGAGCTGTTGGAGAAAAAGTGCAACATGACTAAAGAAATCCTGCCAGTAAGTACCCATACTGAAAGGAGGCATTTTCTTCTTTGATTTATGCCATTGAAGATTAAAGGGAGTATTAAATATTAAAATGGACGTAAATGCTTAGGCTTCAGAGTGTGATTATGATATTGAGTGTTCTGTTTAAAAAACTAAAGAAAAGGGGATTGTGAGGAGTCAGCTCTCCCAATTCATTCTTTGTCTTTCTTTTTCTATCTCACTCAGTTTCTCTCTTACTCCCTGTCTTTCTTACCCTCCTCCTCTGCCCACATCCTTTGTGCAAAAGTGTCTCCTCAACAAATTAACTGTATTGTGACGTTTCATTTCAAAGGCACAGAGGCGCAGCATGCTGATGCTTAATCTGTTTTGCATTCAATTGCGCTGAAGGGGACTTTCTCTTCTGCCATCGTGGAGTTATTCTTTGCCCAGCTCATCCAGGCTCAGAACGCACACTTAATTCCTTTTATTTGTTGTTGGAAGCATGTTTGTCTCTTTTTTCCCCCCCTTTACCTCGCCATTCCTGCTCTTTTTTTCTGTGTATAAAAGTAGTGATCATTTTTCAGTGCGCGTTTATGGGGATGTTAGGCAGCGCCAGTGTTTAGAAACATGCCAAAGTTAGCTCCAGCACTAACAGTGTCCATAAATCACCTAGCCAGAGTCAGCGCCTTTCATTAGCCCCCATACACTTTTACTGGTTTATCTGCCTGGCCTATTTATCTCATTATTCCCCTGGAAAATTGCTCTGTTATGCTTTTCTGCTGCCCACCCGCCCACACGTATGCGGCGTGTGTGTGTGTTGGTGGTGGGTCCGTCCACCTGCATGGCATTGAACTTGTGACCGCAGATTTTAAGAAGATTAACCGAAGCCAAGTATAGGGAGAAGGAATGAGGGCGCACAAGAGAATAAAGGGTACGATTTTCTCCCCCACTTGGCTCCCTTTGTCTGTTTGGATTAAGTTCTTGCAGCTGCCACCCATGGCTTTTATGGACAGTGTTTGTCTCCTTAGCGGTTATTCTAGGCATACTTGGGAAGGATGCAAAGAAGCACTGGATGTGGAGCACAACGGCACACACTTTCTCTCTCTCTCTGTTTTACTCTCTGTTATAAGGACTGTTATCTGAGTGGTTAATGTATCGATGCATGTGAGCTTTTTTAGAGTACACACAAGAGAACTCATGAACTTTACATATGGAAAATATCTTTTTTTTTTTTCAGGTGTTTTTTTTCCTCTAAAGCAATAGAATTCAGAGATGTACATATAAAATCACAACAAGACTGTTTTAAAGCATTGTATTTGAAATGAATTACATTTCGCTGACACGTGGTAACCCGTATTTTTCTGGACGTTCAGGTGGATGCCACAGAAGATGAACCCACCGGTTTTATCTACCTCAGCCCAGATGCCTTATCCAACCCATCTAAGCTGCTGGTGCTGATTCAGGGCAGTGGTGTGGTGCGGGCTGGTCAGTGGGCCCGTAGGCTAATCATCAACCAGGACTTGAACTCAGGGACACAGATCCCCTTCATTGAAAGAGCCATGCAGGTAGAGGTCACAACAAAGAATTTCAAGCTATTTTATTATCTGTTGAACGAATGTTCTGGTCTGTGACCTGTTTCTTTTTTCTTTTTCCCCCTTATTTTGCAAAACTGGGAGTCAGCTTTGGTTTGGTGGTTTTTGTAGGACTTGTACGATTTTGGTGTGATGGGTGCAGCACATAGTTTATTTGAAACACAGGCCTGAATGTTTGGGGCTGTTGAGCAGTTGTGGCAAAGTTAGACTCAGTGTGGAATCATATTTTAGATGTTATGTACTTCACTCGGTGTTGGAATGGGATTGCAGGCATGCTTTTTGGTTTATTAGTTTAGACTCTTGATTTACTGTATCGACTCACTTCAGTTTAACTTCATTGTACAGCTTACGCAAGCGTAGGAAAAGAAAAGAAAACTTCGCCCTGGGGTCATAAGAGAAATTATGATGCTGAACACTTTGAACATTTCACATTTCATATGATCACAGAGGCAAATAATGAGCAGGCATACAGTCACAGGTGCAAACTCCTACCATCAAATGATATCACGCACTGAATTTTGGCTTCATTTGTATTGTTAATAAACCGAAAGACTTTCTTCACTTTTCCTTTTCACAGAATTCTTGTGTAGCGTTCATGTGTTCATGGATGACTGAGATGCGAGAGGGAACAATGTAGAGTTTCTAGCCTTTTAGTTTTACAGGTGCACATAAAAACTGGAGGTTACGCCAAGTGCTTGCTTGTAGGGGGTCATCTGATTGTTGAGGTTTTCACTATTATTTTGGGGTTTTTGCCTTACAATTTAAAGTGCCTGAGGTGACTGTTGTGATTTAGTGCTATACAAATAAAATGGAATTAAATTGAATTTCTAGAAACCTAATGGTGGATGCTGGGGGGACTGGTTGAAACAGCAGACAGCGATGCAAGGGAACAGCAGCACTTATTCGAGAGGGAGAGATGGTAAAAATCAGCAGCTTAAACAGACTGCCAAATTGGGAATGCGTGTTTGATATATAATGTGAAAAGAGTGAGGCATGTTATTGTGTGCATGCCTAAACCAGCTCACAGGCTGCTTCACAAATGTATGTGTCAGCAACCAAAAGGTACCTCTTTCTGTCTAATTATTTTCACCCGCTTCTCTATCCTCACTACCACTTCATGTATAATGACCTACTCTTCCAGATGACACAGACTAGATTCTTTCTCCCGCCTTCCTTCGTTTTGCCCATCTGATTAACATAAAAACGCTGCTGTGTAAATCCCTCTCCTATTGTGTACAACAACTGGAGAAGTTAGAGTAGCGCATGTGTGTCCATGTGCGCTAACGGATGAATCAGGTACCCCTAGACTGTCTAATACAGTTACCCCGGCTGGTGTTACAGTTGGAGAAGGCAGGGTTGTGCTGTGGAGAGCCAAAGTGACAGCTTCAATATAGAGAACATGGTGTGTGTGTGGTGCGAGTGTTGCCCATTCATCATAGTAAACAAGAAATCGTGTTCTTGCACCCTGACAAATCATCATCCAGACATTTACTGCACAAGGGCCTTGTACTGTGAGCGCACTGGAGAAAAAGCCACACACATTTACAGTCAATTCATGCTGCTGGCATCCATTATGGACATGTTTGTACTATATTATGTTATACCACACAGTGTCTCTCGATGTCTTATGTACCGGAGTTACAGCTACTGTACCATCTTCAAAAAAGACTCACTTTATCGCGATTTTGGTGTCAACTTTACAAATTTGATAAGATTTGTCATTTCCCTTTTTGGTCTTACAGTATGTACTGTATGATTTTATTTTAGATTTTACTTTATATTTATTGTAAGAGTTTTGCATGAAAGCACGTACTGAGGTGAGAGGAAAAATTAAAAAGGGATATGAATTGAAATGTTTTTTTTTCTGCCTCCAGCACAGAAGGAGAAACTCCGTAGCTACCCTACACTACCAGCCAACGTTATAAAAAGGCACCCACGTTTATTTAATAATACGTAGTGGTATCAATATTTCTTTGAGCATACACAGGCCATATTATATCAGGTATTTGACATGTAATTGTATGATGTTATTACTCCCCTTTTATGCGCTTCCCCTTAAACATTTTATCTGGCTAGCTCACATACCTGTGCAAACTACTAATTCATCATAATGACAGATGAATCCCATCTTACTCTTTAAAGATACAGCCTTTCCCCAGTAAACCAGCACAAAGACAAACACTCACAGCGACATGACATGAGTAATACGTTATTTTAAATTTATCTTCTGTGTCAGTATTTATAATGAATGCCTAATTGGTCGGCCAAGGGGACTTCTTAATCCAAACATGTGGGAAGAGAGGTACAGCAAAAATTGTGATGACTAGGTGAGATCTGAAACCTGACAAGTAGCCCCTATCCCTCCCTGGGCAAAAGAGATGACTGTTTGTGAAGTTGTTGCTACATGTGTTTATGTTGGGTTGCAGTCCAAATCTTTCCTTACTACATCTGCTTCTATGTTATTTGTCAGCAGTTTAATCTGTGGCTATCAAATGTTGCTCTGTCTACCTACCGGATATGTTCTGCTGCTAAACACAATGCTCCTGACTTGTCAGAAGTCATTTTGGAAAATTAAGGAATCGTGTTGATTGACTGATTGATTTTGACAAAACAATCAAAGAAAATAGCGTATATATCCACTTAATTAAAGTCATTTAATTGAAAATGAGCTGTGTGAAAGTAACCAACCCATCATCAGGAGTGCAGACCTAAAAAAAAATAGGTGTCTGGACTTAAACTGTTCATTAGAACAGGCTTATTCTGTGTGACTGTGTGAAAGCAACACACATGCCATTATTTTATTTATAACTTTGTTAAGTGTGGTTTTGGGTCAGAATGTCACATTTTCTCAGTATAATTTTTAATTATGTTTAGATTAGGGTCCGTTTTGTGGGAACAATCTGTTGTCTCGAGTGTAGCTCATGTGATGTTACTCATGGGAAACTGATTGGAAATTCAAAGCCTGCAGCAAAGGGTCAACTAGAGTGCATTCAAGGAAATCTGGGGGAGCTTGTGGCTTGGCAAAACACAGAATCACTACTCACACGCACATACGGATAAAACTGTTAATTCACAGCGCTGTTGTAATGTGTGTGGATGTAGTGCGAGCACACTCTGGAATTCTTCGCCATGTTCCTCAGAAGCTCGAGTCAGCTTTTCCTCTCTTCCGATGGGATCACCTCTGCCAATCAGGCGATTGTAGGAAAAATTGCTGATTGGGCTAGTTAATCAGCCCCTTCACGCAACACACACGCATACACACATGCACACACAATCACATTGTTGGGTGAATCTCAGGGCAGTCTGTCTCTTACGCCGCAATTTACTTCCCATCACCTGTCTCTTTCTCCCATATTCATCCCATGTCTTGTTCACGCTGCTGTATGATGGTGACACATTAATAACCTGGCAAAAACATATACATTAAATATAAGTCACATAGACACGTGCACACAGAGAAAGCACACATACATAGACGCAAACACATCACACTTGGATGCAGGGTATACTCGGGACTATTTGGCGCAGTGCACATTAATGCTGGGTTGAGGGAAAATGTTTGTGCCATCTGTGTAGGCCTCATGCATGTTGTCTTTATGTGCATGTGTGCACATCTAAGTGATGCTATTCCCAAAGTGTAGAAGTAAAATGACAGGTGAGAGGAGAAGGAGAAAAGGTTGCTCCAGCAACAAACACAAAGTGGTGGAAGAGGTGGAAAAGAGGAATCTGAGAAAAAGCCGAGTTGATGGGGTGTGGGGTGCAGAAAGGGAAACAGGTTATGATTGGTTGGAAGAGGGCAGAAGTGGAAAGAAGGAGAGGAGTGTGGAAAGGATTGATGCAGAAAGAGAGAAATAAGAGGAAGACGAGGGAGTGACTGCAAATGGGTTGGGACTGGCAGAGGAGAGACAGGAGTATAGAGAGAGAGTAGGCAGAAGGCAGGCATCTGACAGCTCCACTACGGGGAGAGGGCCTCTTAATGACAGCTTATTCCTTCATGATTTCAATTCCTGACAGTCGACAGGTCTGCTTGTTGCATCATGGCAGCTGTATCATTACCTTCTGGCCCTGTCAATGCTCTGCATCCTGAGACTGAGATGGTGGAGGTGTAGGGTGCGTGCCATGGGGTTTGGAGGGGATGAGGAGGTGGGAAAGAGAGTTTAGACTGTGAGGTTACAGTCGGAATATTTGAGGGAGGAGGGATATTGAATATTGAAAGGTGGGATCATAAGTTATATGGTAGGTGTTGGAGTTAGGAGTAGGACTTTCAACTAGTTTGCATCCATATAAAAACAATGTACATGAATCCTGTTTTGAGGTTGTAGCTGTTTGGTGTTGTACGATCAAGATGCAGCAAAGTTGATCCTTTTATTTTACATCGCTTCCTAACTTTTTTCTCCCTCATCCTTTTTATTCAGCTGCCTTTTTTTGCATTTTGCATTTTGCCGGTGATACTAGTTGCTACCAGTAGAGAAATTTTCTTCTAAAATTTTCTGTATTCTGCTGCGGTCCTGCAAAACCTAATTTCCTTTTTAGTATTTCTGAATGCTTGTAACTTTTGTCAGCCACCGAGTTTCAATTTACGTTTTTGTCAGATTGTCAGAAGTCTTCAGCATGAGAAAATAGTTTATGAATTTAAACTCCTTCTCATTGCTTTTTAGATCATTTACATATGAATTAATACATTTACAATACCAAGTCTCTCAACCCTCCAGTTTGTTAGCATGTGCGCACACAGCTCCACACGAACCACGAGCGTTATGCAAGGTCTTCACGAACGACTCAATTTAATTTGAAAGTTGCTCATACAAAACGGATCTATAGCCGCTGTCGCCCCCCCTTCCTTGTCTCCATCTCACTCTTGCTCGCTCACTAACTCTCTTGATAGTGAGTCAGGCCCGACACTGGAGATTCTCTGGAAAGAAAGAGGGGGTGTGGTGTTTTCGAAAGTGTGTCAAAAGCCTAGGGGTCTGTAT